GAGCTATGGATTTCTTTTATTTTTTAATTAGTGTAATTGTGATATCTGTATCTTTGTGTAATACCTCTATTTTATTGATCTGCCAGCTTAGCAAATGGTGCGCGAGACCTCTCATTTCTTAGATATAAATCCCACCAGTGAGTAATGACGACTACCTGTGAACTGTTCAGGAAAGTCTTTGTTTCCAGTACAGACCAGGAGTAGGCCTCTTTTGTTTTTCCCTTTTCTAGTTAAAGAGCTTGAAGATGATAGGATTTTCAGTGTACACTCACTTCACTACTGTTACAAGTATTTATCTGCTCATCTTGGTAGCCACAGGGAGTGTAGTTATCCAGTTAAGAGAGCTGCTGGCTGATGAAAATTACTTTTGTTGCTCTTCTGTATCCTTCAGTCATAGGCATGATAATTATCCCTTAAATGCCAGTATGTTTTTATTTTTATCTAGCTGTGACAGACGAGTCTTCCAGCAGATTTTATTTCCCTCCTACGCTTGCACAAACTTTCACATGATGCTTCAAAAAAGGATCTGAGATGCCAGGCAAAACCCAGAGCTGATTTGTTTAAAGCCTTAATTAAAAACCTTATTAAATAAATTGAAAGTTTAAGTTATATTACTGGTGTGCAAACCAAACATTGTTCTCTAAGGAAGCTATTTACACAATGGGATTTTTAGTGGGATCTTTTGTCGCATAATGTGTCCTAAAAATGTATTTTCTGAAATAGCCTAAGTGCTTGTTTTGTGCTATCACTACAGATACTGTTAAGGCCAGTTATTTTCCTGCGTCTAAGAGAGAAAGTGATGTCTAAGATATAAAGTTCACATGTATTAAGGACAAAGAGATGACGAAATGTGTGACCAGCAGGTCGAGGGAGGGGATTCTGCCACTCTACTCTGCTCTCATGTGACCCTACCTGGAGTATTGTGTCCAGTTCTGGAACTCCCAATGCAAGAAGGACATGGTGTTGTTGGAGCAGGTCCAGGGGAGGGCCACAAAGGTGATGACAGAAAGCTGAAGCACCTCCCCTATGAGGACAGGCTGAGAGCTGGGGTTCTTCAGCCTGGAGAAGAGAAGGCTTGAAAGAGATCTTATAAGGCCTTCCAGTATATGAAGGGAACCTACAGGAAAGCTGGGGAGGGATTTTTGTAAGGGTATGTATGCGACAGGACAAGGGGAAATGGTTTTAAACAGGTAGAGAGTAGATTTAGACTAGATATTAGGAAGAAATTCCTTACTGTGAGGGTGGTGAGATACTGGAACAGGTTGCCCAGCGAGGTTGTGGATGCTCCCTCCCTAGCAACATTCAAGGCCAGGCTGGGGCTTCTGAGCACTGTGGTTTGGAGGGAGATGTCCCTGCCTATAGCAGGGAAGTTTGGAACTGTATGATCTTAAAGGCCCCTTCCAACCCAAACCATTCTATGAATCTGTGATGTAAAAAAGTTGGTTGCTACTTGCTGTGCAGATGTGTGTGTAACAGCTATTGAGCTCCATGTGGCTCTGTGAGTGATGGTGCTGACCGTGAACTTCTGTTTCCAGAGTAATCTATCATAGAATCATTAAAGTTGGAGAACACTTCTAAGGTCATCTAGTCCAACCATCAACCTGTCCCATAACTGTGTCCTTCATCAGTGCTACATCCACGCGTTTCTTGAACAGCTCCCTGGGCAGGCTGTGCCAACGCCTCGCAACCCTCTCTGTGAAGAAATTTTTCCTAACCTCCAATCCAAACCTTCCCTGTCACAACTTGAGGCCATTCCCCCTTATCATGTCTTTGTTTCTTTCACTACAGCCTGCTTTCAGGTAGTTGCAGAGAGCAATAAGGTTTCCCCTGAGCCTTTTCTTCTCCAGACTGAGCAATCCCAGTTCCCTTATCCTCTCCCTGCAAGACAGACTCCAGACCCTTCACAGCTTTGTTGTCCTTCTCTGGACATGTTGTTGTATACCTTTCTTATAGTGAGGAGCTCACAGCTGAGCACAGTTCTTGAAGAGTGACCTCAACAGAGCTGGAGACTGAGGGACGATCACTTTTCTGCTACTGCTGGCATTACTATTTCTGATACAAGCCAGGATGCCATTGGCCTTCTGTAGGGCCTCCCTACCATTAGGCAGAGAAGCACTCCCTCCCAACTTGGTATCATCTCTAAACTTACTGAGGGTGCACTCAATCCCCTTGTCCAGATCAGCATTAAAGATATTAAACAGAATGAGCCCCAATACTGGCCTTTGGGGGGAATATCACTCATGACTGGTCTCCAGCTGGATTTAACTCCATTCATCACCATTCTCTGCATCTGGCTGTCTCGCTAGTTTTTTTTTTCACCCAGTGAAGAGTACACATGTCCAAACACTGGGCTGCTAACTTCTTCAGGAGAATGCTGTGTGAGACAGTCAGGAACCTTACTGTAGTCTAGGTAGGCTATGGCCGCAGACTCCCCCTCATCCACAAGGTAGGTCACCTGGTCAAAGAAGGAGATCAGTTTGGTCAAGCAGGACCTGAATTTTGTGAACCCGTGCTGGCTACATCAGATCCCCTAGTTATCCTGCACATTACCTCTCACCATCTGTCTGTGCACTTATTTGCAGATGGTTATTATTGCCAAAGGTCACATCTTTTGTCTTTTTTATAGACATAATCTGCTGAAGTGATTCCAAGTCAAGTTTGTAAAATTCGGGGCGTTCACACTCTGAAAACACACTTAAGGGAAGCAGGTTATCTTACCATTTGGTGAAAAGTGTACAGAGCTTTGGGAGTGTTTTGTCATTGCTGATGGATTGTAGTTTTAGCAAGACGTAGACATCCCCTGTTGTAGTAAAGTCATCCCTTTACAGCAGTGCAGGGCTTTTACAGTATTTCAGCATAGGAGTTGGTTCTAGGAATTGGCTCCTTCACCAATTCTGTATGATGTAATGGGTGAAACAAAGCACTCTACTGTTGAGATGGCTTTTCGGTTTCTGTTCTTTGAACATCACTGAGATGTTTAAATGTAAGTTGCTTAGGTGGAATATACTGCTGTTCTTAGGTCAGTATCTAAATTGTATTGTACCTACCGTGCTACCCCATGATTACCTCCTGGTGCCTTTCATATACTTACAGCTCTTGTTGTTTGGTCAACAGACTTAAGCACAGTTGCAGTTCCTTTGGTATGTGTTGTGAATAGTGCAGTAGAGGAATAATAACACTGCTATATTTAGTTTTCGTTAACGTATGAGGTCCCTCTAATCCTTTTAAAGATATGCTGCAAGAGCATATTTGTACTCTTGTCTGAGCATATTACAGTAGTTTTGATTTCAGTGGTCCTTTGTGACAAGAAATAAATTGAGCAGTACAGTGTTTGTGTACTGTGAAAGCTTCTGTTTGGTTGTTCCTTCTGACTGGCTTCTCTGACATTAAGGAAATGAGACCTACAGATACCAGCTGTATTGCTGCTTCCTTTAGATCTGATTTCAAGGATCTGGCTCTTGAAGATGGGTTTCTGAAAAGTGTGCATTTTGAAGTATATCCAATCATTTAAACTCTTTTTGTGTGTGTGAAATGGCTCCACCCTCTTATTTTTTTTCTTCAGAGCCGGTAGGCTTGTTAATTTTTTTGTAAAGTGTTGTGCCTATAGTAGTACATTCATGTAGGTTAAAAGGATGATCCATCACAGGGGTGACGTGATGTGCTTTGTAATGCATTTTGACTTGCTGCCTCCATTAAATGCACTGTGTTCAATGAAATAACCAAGTGCGTTGAACAGCGTTGTGCTGGGTGATCAATGTTTGGTATGCTGTAGCTGGTCTATTCCATCCCCATCCTGTCAGCTGAAGTGATAGCAGTAGAGTTGATGTTGTCATCGCTTCCTCAGAGTTAACAGTGAGGATAACACATGGTGTAAAAGCTGGCACATCTGAATCATCATTTAAGGCAGCCTGCAGAAATAAGACTACGTTAATTAAACTTGATTGATACCTAGAAACTGTAGACAAAGCCCTAAGGCCTAGAACTTATTGGTTTTAGGCTTATGTTTTGACTTCTCAGGCAAGCATCAGAAATACATTAAGCAATCTGTGTGTTGCCCACTCTGCCTACTGGAAGACCTATGAAGAGAGTTTTCAGTCTGCGTTTTCTGAGATGACTCCACAGAGCTTATTACAATGATTCAGATTCACCAGTAGTGTGCTGTGTAACATCTGAGCATTCATATTATCTTTTACACAGCCACGAAGATGTATTTATATTTTGTGCTGCTTAGATTCAAGTGTTTGTGTCCTTTCTGGTTTTACTGCATGTGAAATATAGAGGCGAATCACTGACTGTTGTAAACCTAAAGCCTGCAATTATATTGTGAATCTGGTTACTACAGAGCCAGTGGTAAAGGGCTGTCAATGCTGCCCAAAACCAGCAGTGTACTATCATTATAATTACTTCATTTTGTGAGTAAGTTTATTCAGCTGCAAGAAATGGATTTAGAGAATCAGTAGGCTTTGAGATGCCATCTACTCTATTATATAATATTGATATATAGTAAAGCTATTAGAGGATTGTGCCACAGGTGTAAGTTTTTAAGCACTTTCTTTTTGATGAACTATATTTTCACTTTATAGATTGATGTCTTTAGCATAAATTATTTCCTCATTTTAACAGCTTTAGTTTTCATTACAGAACGCTTTTAGGTTATTCTTCCCTTCCATATTTCCTTCATGTAAGTGGGCAATAGATGAACAAGTATGTGAGCTCAAAATATCCTGTATGAAAAATATTTTCTTATGTAAATGCACATATTACATATTAGTGAAATCACTGTTGTGGTGTTTGGAGCTTTATATTACTACAAGGATTGAGAAATTTCAGAAGTGTAATGAACACGTAAAGAAGAAATTTCAGCTTTCATAAATATTCCAAGAAATTTATCTGCTTGAGAAAGTGAGTTCTTGATACACATTTATAATGATGAACAGTTTTTGAGAACAATTTGAATTGTTTGATGATTGATTGCTTAATATATTTTTTTCCTTTTCCAGCTGTCCATATTTATCAGAGAAGATTACACCTGCTATACCTGCAATTGGTGGGATACTTTTCTTTTTCGTGATGGGGACCCTGCTGCGTACTAGTTTCAGTGATCCTGGTGTCCTCCCCCGTGCAACACCAGATGAAGCAGCAGATCTAGAGAGACAAATAGGTAACACTGAAGGTCTGTTTTCTCCTCGCTTTCCTCCCGAGGGTTTATGTGCTATATGAAGGCGATGTGCTGCTCTGTTCCTGGGAGAAGTTACTCCTGTTTTTCCACAGTAATTGTTCTGGAGTTGCTGTGTCCACTGACACTGCAGTTGAGTGATTCCTGTGGAAAGGCGGTTGATCAACTCTTCAAAAAGACAGTAAACAAAATGCTGGTCCTGCAGAGTGATAGTTATTACTGTGAATACTTTTCAGCGGGCATTGTAGAACTCTGACTGTAGTGTGCAAGAGAATTTTTGAAGTGTTTTTGACAAGAAAGCTGATGTTGCAAAGGTTATTAAGTTGTACATCTTTTAAAGTAATGTATCCTCACAGTTTGAAGGAATTTAATTAGATGATGAATTATGTTGTGAAAGGATCAGATAAGCCTATATTAATGTACAGTGTTGCAATTTGATACAGTCTGGGAAAAGCTGTACTTCAGTTACTAATTGTATGTATTTTTTATCTGTTTAGAGCTGGCACAAGTAAAGGAGAGTGAGCTAGCTTTTAATCACTTGTCAAGTGATTAAAGTGTCAAGTTCTAATTGTGGAATTTCTAAAGCTATAGATGAACTAAATAGCATTTGCTGTCTAGATAAGAAAACACGGGATAAATTTGCAGAGCTACTTCATAAACAGTATTTGCTTATTTTTGTACTAAGCAAGTTTAGTAACAACTACTTCAAAATGATACCCTAGGAATTCATTTGTTCTGAAGTTGTTTCAGAGAGATTCTCACTCATATAATTGAAAAAATATGTAACAGGTGTATGCAAGCACAGGATGTGTACCTCTATGGTCCTTAATGTTTGCACACTACAGTGTTCAGTGTTGTCTGAGGATTTTGTACCATGACAAATAATGCTGTAAAATGCTGTAAAAGCAAAAGCTAAAGCTTTTGTTGCGAACACTCCTACATCTATAATATATGAATTTTAAGGGTTAACTTCAGAAAAGTTTTTGTCTGCTTCTTTAGGGTAATATTCTACACAATGCATTAGTGAAACTGACTGAAGGGCAAAGTCATTTGTTTGGTTGTATTATGGAGTAGGGTTGATTTGGTACATATATGGAGCAGGAGTTCTGGTTTAGTTTCCTCAGAAAGCATTGGTATGAATATGGCACTGAACCATGCCAGTGAGTGGAAATGATAAAGAGTTTTAGTCAAAACACTAAAATGTCACATCAGCATTACATTTGTTTGCTTAAATTTGAATACAGACATGATGTAGGCATCCTGAAGCTATGCCTTCCACATGTAGAAATCTGTTGGACAAAGGAACGTTCTTAAGGGAAAACAAAAAAGCTGATGACTTGAAATCGTTAATTGAGACCTTTTTGAATCTTGAACTCAGAGGAAGGGTAACAAATTCATTTTTAATAGCTTCCATATTTTAGTGGTTGTTTGAATCTCATGGGTTCATTGTTTAAAAAATATATCCTGAAGACTCAGTTTCAGAAAATTGCTCTTGGAGGAACAAGAGTGATGGTTGAGTGCCTTCTGGAAAGGCATATGTTTTCTTTGTTATGGGTTATTTTAAGAAGTAGGGTTTCAAAATAGTGATCAGTTTATTGGTTGTCACTACAGCAAGATCATTTTATTTTGCCAGGTTTGGAGTGTTCCGAGCACAGCTGTTACAGTATGCTAAGTCATAAAGTATAAAGGTGTCTGCATAAACAGCATTTAGTATGCTTCAGTGAAGCAAAGTTAATGCATTTGCTATATACTACGTGTAGCAGCTATTTTTAAGTGTTCCATGTATCCTTTGCATAGATTTGAGATCTTTGGAGCTGTGTAATCACATAGCAGCTCAGTTTGTTGAACTTGAAGAAGGATTTTTTTTTTTTTTTACTGTGCATTTGTGAACTCTGATGCATGTAGTTCACTGATTTTTATGGATCTGGAATAGCTTTCAGTACCAACAGAACAGTCACATTGGCAGTCACATTTCTGTAAGAAAAGCTGTATTGCTTTTTTTCTATGCTTGGACTAATTGTGCATAGTCTGGAGCCATCTGATATGGCCACAAGGGAAGAAGGTTGCATTTGGTCAGTCATGACTTAGCTTTGGCCAAGGACCATACTGTACATAGACACACAGAAGTGCATTGTTAGATTTTAGATGATCCAGGTAGCTCAGTGCTAATGGATGAACTGGGATATGGCACTTGGCATTATTTCAAAAAAATCTTTGGTCAACCTGGTCTTTATGTTCATAAAGAAGTAAAATCAGAAATGGAAGAAGCATTGTGAAACTATTGTCACTGTAGTGGAATGTGTTTCTATTGAGAAACTGGAGTTGTGTTCAGATACAATGATTCCAGTCCTCTTTTGTGTAATAGAAGAATTCCTAATTTTTGCAGAATCCACATATGTGGACAATGAATGATAAAGTTCAAATTCACATTGGGAAACGTTAACAAATATCTGAGGAAGACTGACTTCAGAGCTTATTTTTTTCAGCTTTTATTACTGTTATCACTGTAGTATCAGATAATGACTACATAATGTGCTGCACAGAAGTACGTGCAAGTTGCTACAACAGATAATGGCATTAGATTTAGAGATGGGAAGGAAAGAATTGGGAGCGATGAAAAAAACATCTCAGAACTATTTGTGATCACGTGGAGGAAAATGATAATTTCCTTCTTCATTCTCCTTTCCCCCATCAGATTTTTCTCAATAAAGTTATTCTATGTAGGAATTTTTGGAAAGAGGATGGAATTCAAACATATATGTTTCTTCCTCTTTGTATAATGAAACTATTGCAATTTTTAAGATGTAAAGTTTTGTTTTTTAAAAAAGGCATTTTAAAATTGTATTTCCTGTGTAACTTCTATAATTTCTGTGACCATTGTATAGTTTTTTTGTTTTATTAATGCAGTGTTAGTAATGCAATATTTGGAGAGCAGAGGACATTCTTCACTAAAAATTTATGATTGGAAGTTAAACATTTTTATTAGATACCTGAAATTATAATGTCTTTCTAATTGAATAACCTTCCTTAAGAAGGAACGTGTTCCCCTGAAGAACCTTTTAAAATCTGCCAGAACAGTTTCTCCTGACTGTTTCATAGTGACAATTCTTTCCAGAAGTCCTGTTTTTTCTCTCCTTGCAGTGAAGTGCAAGTAGCCTTTGTTTGCCAGTCATCATCCTGGTCTCTGCTTTCCTGATGATGAGTTATAGCATCTGAGCTGTTTCCAAAGAATCAGAGTAGGTGTTCGTAATACCTGATATATCTGTCATAAAGGAAACAGTGCTGCTTTTGAAATTAAAAAAATAACAATAATAATAACAAAAATAATAATTAAAAAAATTTAAAAAAAGATGAATGGTAATTTCAAAATTAAAAAAACAAAAGTTGTATATTACAGTTAAATTCAAACTTTATCAAATTTGACATACAGAGGTAATTTTAAAATGAAATTGTAGCGAATTTTAAGTGATGGTTTAGAAAGGAATTTAGTCTTCATCTGTTTCTCCTAACTTACGCAAATGCATTGGTTGTACGCATGGAAGTTGGCCTTTTACCTTTTCAGAAAGGCAACTTTACTGGGACACTGCATTGCCTCATTAGAAAAGATTCTCAGTAGGTCTCACCCTCCACTCTGGAGGATGCTGAGTAGAAGCCTGCACTGTGCAAAACATGTTTTAAGACAGGACTAGGAGAAGGGAAGTTGACCAACTGTTGACCAACTGTTTTTCTTTCATTTGTTATATTAACAAATCTAGAATAATTTGCAGGAGTCTGTGTTTATACAGCAAAATGGAAAATTACTACTGTATTGACTCTAAGGTAGAACGTTTTTAAAAGGAAGGAGCAACTTTGTGTTTTCATAGTGTCAAAACGCTATTATTTCCCAAACTAATAAAGTAAAGGCAATAAAGCGTCAGAGAGAAAATGCAATTTTATTAATTTTTCTTTCCATAATCCCCGATTAAGTGAATGATCAAGTCTTGTGGGGTAGAGTATCTGAAGGCTCCCCACAAATGTCTACATTTCTTTAAATATATTTCTTGGCTAAAGATAGGACCTTGTGGTTGGTTAGAAGCCACCTGCAATCACGTCATGGCACTTCTTTCTGCTGGTCTTCAGTTTTGTTTTTTTTCTTCTTTGATGAAAAGTACTGAGAGTAATTTAGTCCTGTTATAATGTGAGATCCTTGTAAGGAACTTATGTGATGCATTAGATGAGGGAAACCATTTTAATAAAGTAAGAATAACCATATCATTGCTTCCTCTGCTGAAAAACAAGTGTGCTGCATAAAAGCAAGCGGTCCTCAGTTTAGAATGGAAAGTCAGGTCTGGTCCTTTGAAGTTGGACCACCTACACTGATGGCTGACAGTTTAACTATAGAAAAATATTACCTATAATTTCTTAAGCTGTTTCAGAAGTAATAAAATCCTCCTGAAGAATGGGAGACTTTCACACCTGCATTTGAGAGGAACAGAGAGGAGGGTAAGAAAAGCTGGAGGGAATAGTAGAATTTAGGTGCTGTCCTATGTTACCTGCCATCTCTGTAGGTGCTTTTTCATTTGTCATTCTTCGAATTTCTTCAGACCCTAAAGGAAACTGAAATTAAAATCCATTAATGAAGGTGCTGCTGGAATTTACTAGCTGATTATCATTGGAAATAATAATGATGGTGCAGTTGAGAGGGGGTAAAACTTCAGAACAAAACCTTGTATAATCTGTTCTTTTTATGTAAAGCAGCTCAGCTTTTTAATGGAAATGCACCTTTTCAGTAATTGCATATAAAGATAATGGTGGTGGTCTGCGAAAAGAGATTGCAAACCAGTTGTTGAAGTGTAGCTATTAGGATTTAGCTATCTTGCTGTGACAGGTGTTTTTTAGAACTATATCCAGCTACTTTGTGAAATGCATGAGCATTTTGTAGACCATGTTTTAAATATGCTTTTGTTAAGGGATTTCCCCAATTTAATCACAGCAAATGAATACTTCAGCGTTTATAT